GGGGGGGGGCCTCGAAAGTCGCCCTCAGCCCGGGCTGGGGGGGAAGCACGGAATCCGGGGTGTCAAACCCCCCCCGGAAGCCGAGAAGGCGTTGGGGGAGGGGGCGTCGCCCCCAGCCCCTCCCTTCGCGAGCCGCCGGGGGTGGGGGAAGCATCGGGGCCGCGCGGCCACGTCAGCAGCGCCCGCACTGGCTGGCCCGGGTCACGTGTCCGCTCCCCCCCCCCGCCCGCGGCCACGAGGGCGAGGTTTCCGAACACCGCCGAGGGTCGTGTGCGGGGTCACGGGGGCCGCACGGCCCTGACCCGTGTCCCGAGACCCCAGACCTCACGGAGGCCGCCGCCTCGCCCAGGTCCCCGGCCTCCCGCGCGCCCGCGGTCGCCCCCCGTCCCCCCCACTCGCCTCTCGGTACGGGTTCAGCATGGCTGCCGCGGGCCCCCCCCCCGAGATGCACAGGGCGCATGCGCGAGGGTGTGCCCGGCCTGGGGGAGGGGAGGCCCGGGTCGCGCGCAGAGCCCCGGTGCGCAGGCTCAGTGTGCCCCGAGCCGCGGGGCCGACTCGCGGCCCGCGATGGGTGTGGCGGGAGCGCGCGGGCCTGCGCCCCGATGGCCTTTCCCCCCCCAGCTCCCCACCGCGGCGGCGGGAGTTGGTTCTTCCGGCTCCGGTCTGAGGCGGTGCCTGGCACCCTCTGACCAGATTCCGCGCGGCCCCCACGCCGTGGTCCCCGGAGGCACGCGGGGCCTGGCTGCAGCAGCGGGTCTGCAGGGCGAGCCTCCCCGGAGCGGTAGGGTCCGTCTGGATGTCGCAAGCTCGATTTGACGTTCTAATCCGGAGGAGTTGTGGGCTTCCTCGAATCCCTTAGGCTGCTTCTATCCCCCTATGAGACTTGAAAATCCCCGAAGCCTGCCTTCTACGAAGTTCACCACCAGTTTCTTTCTCTGATCTTGTACAGGTAGATAGACCATTTAACCTAAAGCTCCCGCTGCGAGATTTTGCCCATTTTGATCATGATTCTTTCCTGACATTGTCTATACTCTAAATTTCTGTGGCCGGTCTTACCAGTTTCAGTTTTTCGCAGTCTTGAAGTCATCCTATCATAGTTGAGGGTGGCAACTTAAAACATAATGTAGCTGACTTAATATGTGAAGCTCGCGTTTATCTTCTTTGTCTCCCAAAGTATGGCCTGGATCTCCACTCTCCACCAGCAGACCACCTGTATTCTCCCAGTGTAGACTGGGGCATGTCTCTTATTTTGTCAGGGGCTTCTCGGTTGAAGGCAAGTGCTTTTGACTTGGTCACCTTTCTCTGTTCACCTACGATACTTCCTGTCCATTTTGCTCTCTTAGCCAAAAAGAAAACTATGCAGTATCCACCCTGTCAGTAAGTGCTCGGTAGTTTTCTCAACCCCCTTGCACAGCAGGACCTGGACTTACAAAACTCTCCCTACTTCTCTCCTCCCCGTTCTTTTATTCACACTTCATTCAGCTCTGAAGTGTGACCTCACCACCAACTTATCAGAACCTCCCAGCTGCCCACCCTAGGGTCCACTTCTGGATTCTCACCTGACCTTTGATTTCTCCCTGACGTGCCATGTCTACCCCAGACCCCCAGTCTCCCTTTTGTACGCTTGGGTAGCTGGTTCCTGCTGTCTGCCTGGACTGGTTCTATGCAGTCATCTTCAATGACTCAAGCCTTTCCACTCCACCGTTAGACAGTTCTCTTGAGCGGAACTTCCTATTAAAAATTCCTGCTTGGATAACCCCAGACACTGGAGCATGCTCAGAATTGATGTGTTCTGTACAGCGCACCAGACCTGCTGCTGTGTTACTCTGTAGCAGCTTCCAAGTCACGACTTCTATCCACCTGAATGTTACCATTCCCTCCCTTATCTACTGATGCATACCGTGTCCTACATAACCAGGGAATCGTGCCTGCTGCATCACCTGCACTTGTTAAAGGCCTAAGTCACTATCCTACACAGCAGCAACTTGAATTTAGATGCAGTTCAAGTTTGTTTCACAGTGGCACTCGGCACATTTCAAGTTCTCGGATGCCAGTCATGGTTGGTGGCTGTCACATGAAGCCACATGTGCATTGGATGGTGGCGCCCTGGGCTTTCCCTCTGGACCTGTGCTACTACTCTGCTCCCGTGTTATCTGTTATCGGAAAGGTCTGCTTCCTGTGGTAAGCCTCCCGTTAGCCAGTTCCTCTCCAGCCCCCTACCCCGCTCACAGAGCAGTTTCCCAGATGTGTCACATGTTAATGTCATCTTGGATTCGGTCTCAGTGCTTTACACATACGTTCCTTCCACAAGGAGCTGGCCTTCCCTTCATTTAAACCAACATCTGCGAACGGCTTACTCTCGACACCTAAATCAAGCCGACTTATTTGGGTACACTTGCGATTGTACCTTTTATAGTGACCTGTGATCACCTGCTTCTCCTCACTATGAGATTCCATCCCGAGGGTGAGACTGTGTTGTGTTGTTGGTGATGGATGTGTGTGTGTGTGTGTGTGTGTGTGAGAGAGAGAGAGAGAGAGAGAGAGAGAGAGAGAGAGAGACAAAGAAAGAACAGGGCCTTACCATGTAGCCCTGGTTGATCTGGGACTCAGTGTAGACCAGGCTAGCCTTGAATTCACACAGGTCCACCTGCCTTTGCCTCCTGAGATTAAAGGTGTGCACTGCCACACCTGGCGTCCCCTCTGGTTTTCACAGGAAACTGAATGCTTTTGAGTCACTTGTCCGAGGTCAGACTGTTGCTAAGTAGCAGAGCTAGGATTTGAACCCATAACCTACTTCTGAATAGTGTGTTGTCTGTACACACAGTTCCATGGAGTTCTAGGTCTAGGATTGGGACCAAAGAATTGAAGACTAGGGGAGAGTTATCCTTAAGGTGATGTTTACATTAAGGTAGATAAGCTGTTTTTGTTTTTTTCCAAGACAGAGTTTCTCTGTATAGCCCTGGCTGTCCTGGAACTCACTCTGTAGACCAGGCTGGCCTCGAACTCAGAAATCCACCTGCCTCTGCCCCCCAAGTGCTGGGATTAAAGGCATGCGCCACTACCGCCCAGCGCTTTTTTTCCTTCTTAAAAAGCTAATCTACCTCGTCAAGCAGCACTTGGGAGGCAGAGTGAGTTCCAGGACAGCCAGGACATCACAAAAAAAAAAAAAAAAAAAAAAAGAGGGAAAAAATCATGTTGAGCTTTGAGTCAGGGATTAAGCTTTGGTGGCGCCTCCTACAGGGAATCCAGCTAGGTGTGGTGGCACCTGCTTTTAAATGCAGCACGTGGGAGGTGGAAGTAGATCAGGAGTTCAAGGCCAGCCTCGGTTATTTACTAAGAATGAGGGTAGCCGTAGATCTGAGATACCCTGTCCTTAAAACTAATAAGCACTTTGAGTCTGCACTCTTGTTCCTGTAGTGTCATGGTTAGGGTTTCCATTGCTGTAAAGAGACACCATGACCAGGGCAACTCCTACAAGGACAACGTTAATCGGAGCTGGCTTACACGTCAAAGGTTCGGCCCAATATCATCAAGGCGGGAAGCATGGCAGCATCCAGGAAGGCATGGTGCAGGAGGAGCTGGGAGTTCTGTATCTTATTTCGAAGGCAAACAGAAGACTGGCTTCCAAGCAGCTTGGAGGAAGGTCTCAAAGCCCACCCCTACAGTGACACATTACCTCCAACAAGGCCAAATAGTGCCACTCCCTGGGCCAAGCATATTCAAACTACCACACGTAGAATAATGAATTCATCCAGTAAGATAGTGGATAACTACATCATAACGTGGTCGTGGGTGAGTGTGGTTATAGGAGCTGTAGCTGGGTTTGCCCTCTGAAATAGGATTCAGGAGAGGGAAAAGAAAGTAGCAATTGGGCCCGGCATTTGGGCAGCAGAAGCAGCAGATCTACGCGAGTTCAAGGCCAGCCTGGTCTACATACAGAATTCAAGGATCCATTTATGGATTAGGGAGGACATGGGACAGGGAGAATGGCAACAGCTGGTGGTAAACCAGAGACATGCCTCAGGAGACTAAAGTACCCGTGTCCATAGAGTTGGCCCACCGCCATCCCGTGCGTGACGGCGCCACTTTGTCCGCCATGGGTCCCTTGGTGGACACTGGTTTGAATGTGGGTATTTGATTTATGCAGGTGTTCACTCTCTAAAGCTGCACGGTCACGGCTTTCACAGGTCAGGAACCTAATCTAACCGTGAAGCACGTGACTAGACTTGGATATGGTCCCCAAGGTAGAGGCCGTCATGGAGAAGTGCCTTTATGAGAAAAGGAACTGGGGACCCAGCCCAGCTGTGAGAAGTGCTTGCCGCTCTCACAAAGGACCCGAGATCAGCTCCCAGCACCTCTGTGAGGCCGGCTCCCGGGGATCCGCTGTCTCCGGCTATAGGGATCAACTTGGACTTGCGCACACACACAACCTACATAATTTGTAGTAATCTTAAACAAGTAAAGAGGGGGACATGGAGCACTTTCAGTGTGGAGAGCAGACTCGAGAGATTACAGATCAGTTGCCAGGATTTGGTTGAGAAAGTTGAATCTGTTGGGATGACAACTCTCACACTGATGACTAAGGTGACTGAGGGGCTGTGTCATTGCCTGAGCCCCAGACTATATAGGTACTAGAAGGGGGAGCAAGGTAGTCTTCTACTGATGCTTAATTAGTGTTGGTGAGCGAACCTGTGTAGACCAGGGTGCCCCTAATCTGAGGTAGGGCTGTTGGGATTAGAGGCGTGGCCCACCACACCCGGCTAGCACACAGATTCAGGCTAACCTCTGTGCCTAGAGTGATGTCATGCAGTTGGCTATGTTGATAGCTGTGTTGAGGGAGTTTGTGATGATTCTCTATTCTTTAGAAATACCGAGAGGTGATATTGCGGGCTTGGCCACAATCAGGTCTAGTGGGCACATACCCAAGATGAACCAGTGCAATCTTCTCTCTGAAAGAATGAGAAGGTTAACACACACTGGAGGACTTTGCGGCTTAGGAATGACAGGTCAAGACCCATGTGGTCACTCTCCAGGTCCCACAAGCTGAGCCAGTGTCTATCCTGTAACTCCTTATGAATTATATTAGCTAAGGTTAGCTCCTCCCCCTTCTCTTTTCCCCATGCTCTCCATCCTATTCTGTTCCATTTTTGAGGAAGTGTCTATTAGCCCAGAGTGGCCTTGAACTCATGACCTTCCTGTCTCTGCTTCCCCAGTGCTGGGATTTCTAGCATGTACCACCATACCTGGCCTCCAGAACTGGTTGGTTTCCATGCCGGAAACGTCTCGTTTTACTGTACTCTGCTAAGTCAACTTAACGGGTGGCATTTTTACTCCATGAAGAACATGATAACCTTTGAACAAAAACGGTCTGAGACTGAGCTGCTCAGCTTTAGTAGAGGCGACCACAAGCGGTGGAATGTCAGGGTGGATTCCAGAGCCCAACCTGAGTGGTTCTGCTGAGTTTGGAAGACGCCAGCAAATGGGCTGAGTGGAGAGGGAGTAAGTGAGGCCATAAATACCGTTCAGGGCGATTGCATGCTGCAAGAAGGACAAAGGTTGAAGACAAAGCCCCAGGGGAGTCCTTAAAGCCAGGTGTGGTGGCTCATGCCTATAATCTCAGCACTTGAGAGGCTGAGGCAGGAGAATTGATTTGAGTACAAAGCATGTGCTACACAGTTTCCTGCCAGCCTGGGTTACAACTAGACTCTACCTCAGAAAAAGAAAGCAGCTGGAAGAAAAGCTGTGGACGTATGCAGTTGGCTGAAAAGGGAATGCCAGAGG